ATATATATATATATATATATATATATATCAAAGAGAAGCATGTGTTCCAACACTAGAAAATGCCCCTAATCTCTGGACCTACACACAGCAGTTCCTGTTTGAGGAGTAAACCACAAATGGAATTCACCCAAGTTCCTAGGCACTATATTCAAATCATTGTTCCTTTATTCTCCACATTTTTGGCTTTATTCAAAAGATTCAAAAAGATTCAAGAGTGTTGGCTTTGTTACAAAGAAAAACTAAACCAGTTTTTTGTTAACATCAGTTTTACCATTAACTTAATTACATTTTATTACTAAAAGATAAGTATGCTAAATGAATCCTTAAATCAAAACATCTATTATAGATTTGCAGAAGTAACTGTAAGAATGGCACCATTTGTATTCATGCCTATTTTTAAGTTTCTTTAATGTGACCTCATTTTACCTCAAATTACTCCATTTTTTTTTAGTCTTAGTGTAAACTTCACGATGGCTCTGAAGTTTTCCATAGCAAGAAGTTAGGTAAGATTTGGTTTGTTTTGAGAACAAGAGGAAGTCAAATTTATATGTTGGATCAAAGAGTTACTGTAGGCATTTCCTTTTATAGATGTCATATATGAAATAATTCTTTTAATATTACTTTTTATTTGCTAGAAGTTACAGGTTTCAGAAACTAAAAAAAAAGTATTAGACTTTTTCTTAGATATTTGGGTCAATGATAAAAATTTTAAGGTACCATTAAGTATCAGTGAAATGAATCCAATCATTATTTGTTGCTTTCCCTTAGCATTGCTAATCAATAATACTATTATCTGTTTTTACTACAGCACACAGATTCCATTAAAAAAATTGAAGCTATGCAAAGGTGGCTTTCCACTTTGATAAAAACATAGTGGGATACAGGAAGTGTAAAACGGCAAAGGGACCTTGAACTTCATCTTATTGTCATATTTTCCATGACATCCAAGATGAAGGATGAAGAAGGTAACAGGGCACTCAGCTCTCAGAGGTGATGATGGGTTTGTGCTGAGCTATTGACACTCAAACCTGGGCCTCTTGTGATCAATGGCACTCAATTTGAAGACTACTGACTGGGGTTAATGGTGCAATCTGTGGCTTTGGAACAGAGTTCTTCTCAATGTGAAACTAATTGGCCCATATGGGGATTAAACTGGTAACAGTGTCCTCATTTGTCAACCCATCGACTCAGCAGTTGACTCCAGTTGTGTTTGAGAACTGCCCTGAATTCAATCAATGTCTTTTGAAAAATCATAATATCATAACTTTAGAAACAGGAAGAGACTATTTTTAAATTTTACAAGTGACATATCAACCCAAATCACTTCAAGAAAATCAGTATACATTAAATAATAAACATCCCAGAATGTGCCAATTATTTTTAAATGAATATCCTTATGCTGTGGGCAACAACAGGAGATATGTCAGCATCCTACTAAGCTATTCATTTCATCGCAAATTCCAGAATTACTCTCCACAACTGTGAAGATAGGGTTTTAGACCCCATTGCTCAGAACCCCCACAGAAGCATCAGAGTCAAAGCTGACACTGAACTGTCTTGCCTTTGTGTCATCTTCGTTTCTGTACTGATCACGAGCCTTTCTTTAATGTTTACTCCAGAGCATTTTAAAACCCATTTACCAATTACACGATTAATAGCTTGACTTTGGTGAAGCAAAAACACTATATTTTATAGTCATAGGACAGAAGTTCACCCTTTCGTTTTGACTCATAGAACATATTTCAATAAAACCTGTCAAACTCAAAACGTTTACATTTTCTCTCCATTTCTTTCATGAGTAACACAATGTCGTTCTCCAGTTCAACTAATTTTTAATACGTGACTAATGGATGTGAAGACAATTTCCAAACCATAGTGACATGTGCGGTGATAGTTACTGCTGCAGGATATTTGATCATACTGCTTGAAGGTGTGTTGCTGCTTCACCTCACCTGCCTAAAGCACCTTCTGATGGATTTGATAATGAGCTAAATGTCCAATGGCTAGGCAGGAGAGGATAAACAGGACTTCTGGGCAGAGATAGGAACTCTGGGAAGAATCTGAGTTGGGGAGAATTCACCAGCCAGACCCAGAGGAAGTTGGAGGCTCGGAACTGAGGAGAAGTAATGAATGAGTCATGTGGCAAAATGTAGATTAACATAAATTGGTTAAGTTTTAAGAACTAGTTGAGAACAAGCCTAAGCTAAGGCCAAGCTTTCAAAATTAGTAAGAAGTCTTCATGTCATTATTCGGGAGCTGGCAATCCAAAGATTCTGCAATGTAGGGGAAATGCAAAGGTTAAACAGAAAACCTACTAGAGCTGAGCAGTAAGATTGACATGGGGACCGCATTGGTATCCAGCATAAAAGCTTGTTTTCCCTAACTCTCCAATTAGAAGATATATGTTCCTGCCACAGAGATTTACAAAGTAAGTGGTTAGTTGATCATAGTATCTTCTAATGTTTGCTCATGTGTAATAATTTCTGTCATTCCTGATGCAGCTAATTTGATTATTTGCTTTTAGCCTAGTTAAATTAGAGCCTTGTTAACATTCAGAAAAAATATTTGTTTCTTTAAACATGAAAAGAAAATTGATTTAAAAATATTTTTATAGCGCATGGCTTTTAAATTATCATTTTTAAAGGCTTATTTTCATTATCTTTATATTAAGTATACATGTAAGTATGTGCACATGAGTGCTGGTACCCCTGGAGGCCAACATAGGCCATTCCATCTCCCGGAACTAGAGTTATACTTGTGAGCTGCAGTGTAAGCGCTGGGAACTGAGCTGAGGTTCTTTGTAAGAACAGCCAATGCTCTTAACTGCTGAGCCATCTCTTAAGCCCCAAGAGAGCATTCTCAATGCCCTGCTGGTGACCCCAGTGCAAAACCAGGGTAATGCCTTTTATAAAGTCTTGATAGTGGTTAATTCCTCTTTCGCACCGTCTTTGTATTCTGTTTCTTCAACTACTTCTCATCTGCTCACTTAATATGTATTTTGTACACGGTATATGGAAAATAGCATGCAAGCCATTGAATCACAGGGTCTTTGTTCTTGTAGAGTTTATACTTAGAACTTGAGAAGGTATCAAGGTATTAGGTCAGGTGTGATGGTTCATTGTGTTTAATTCGAGCACTTGGGTGGCTAAAACAGAAGGCCATAGCTATTGGTTTTATTTTGTTTTATTGAAATGAGTTTTTCTGTGCTTTCAGAAGAGGGATGGAATTCAATTCTTTAAAGACACAGAAATTCTGTATTATTTTCTTTTCTAAGACGACTGAAAGAGAATTGCTTCTCTTCTCTTCTCATTTGTGTGTTTATGGCTTCAGCCTATAACCCAAGCTGGCCTTGAACTCACAGTTTTCCTGAAGTTCCCTCCCAAGAGCTGGGATTACACATCACACCATGTTGTCTCTCTTCCTAGTTTTTAAATAGATGCTCACTTTGTTGGCTGCTATGGTTCGCATCCCATTCAATATGGATTCTATTTTCAACATTTTATCATCAATGGGGGACTTTGCTTTATGGAAACATTTGGTTAGTTTTTGAGTATTTATCGGACCCACTTGGCTTCATTGGACCATATTACACCATTAGACATTGTTACAATATCCTCTTGAATTTATATGCGTTTCGTTCAGCAGTGCCTCCTCCTACTCTCAGCTCTTGCTCTCAGACTGGCCAGGACTCTGTGATGAGTGCTCCTGCTGATGTAGGACTTCTCTTGACCTCAGGATAAGGTCAGGAGTTCATTTGCAGTTTGCCTTTTTATTTGTCTTAGTTAGGGTACCTATTGCTGTGAAGAGACACCATGACTCTTACAAAGGAAAACATTGAATTAGGGTGGCAGACACTGGAAAAGAAGCTGAAAATTCTTCCTTGATCTGCATGCAACAGGGAAGCAAATTGTGACACTGGGCATAACCTGAGCATAGGAGACCTCAAAGCCCACCCTCATGGTGACAGACTTCCTCCAGCAAGGCCACACCTCCTAATAGTTCCACCCTCTGTGGAGTACATTTTCTTTCACACCCCCACATTCTTCTAGTACAAAAGTGGAATTGGTTCATGGGAACACTCTGCTATCTAGATGTTTGTATAGAAGTCACCCCAGAACTTGAGTTTGTTGTCCTTGTTGCTCTTTATGTTTTGAGAGGAATTTCGGAGTTGAAAAGTACTGTCTCTGCTGCCACTTCCTCCCATTCTCTCTGATGCCTCATTCATGCCATCTGAGACCAGCAGAAATGTATTCATTTTATTAGGTGTCTATTTCTTTTAGAAAAGAACTCATTAGCTCTTGAGAGCTTCATATCGTATGGCACAACTGACATTTAAGACTTAGTGTAGGCAATTATTTTCTTACCTGGATTTTAAGTATATACTTCTACAGAATTTTAATTACTTTTATCCATGGGATTTTTGCTACCTAGGCTAAGAGTTATTATCTTGAAAAACCTAAGCATGTTCTTTCCAAGAAGATTTGTGATGGTGTTATCAGTCAGCTGGCTAGAATCCTTTGACACTACCTAGTCAAGGAGAAGCTCTTCCGAGTAGGTCACAATCTTATCCCTCAGTGTTTGGTAAGCAGTACGAGCAGACAGGTGAGTGCAGCTGCAGGCAGCACCATCTGGAGTTGTAACTCTGTGTAAGTTTCGAGTGTGAACCTTACTGGTGTTAAAATCTTCTGTAGATTTATGGTATTTGGATTCCTTAGCCCTTGATAGCAGCTAGCATGACAGCTTCTGGGCCAGTGGTTCTCAACCTTGAAATGCTGCAACCCTTTAATACAGTTCCTCATGTTGTGGTGACCCCAACCTTAAAATTATTTTTGTTGCTACTTCA